GTGTTTCTTTCAATAAATGAATTTTCTTTTCAATAAATGGATTTTTTGGCTTTGAAAACATTCTATATTATTTCATAAAGTAAAAGATACCTCAGCCCAGGAAAGAAACAGGCACTGCAAGTCAGCGTAGCAAACACAGATTCCTACTAACATTGGAACCACCGCTCTTCACTCCTGTGCAGGGCACCAAACATTACTGGTGGTTTTCAGCCTCCAATTGCTCCCTTAAGGCATCCCTAATCCTTGCAGCCCCGCGCTGGGCCCCTCTAATAGCCCTGCTCTCTGGCTGTTCAAATTCAGCCTCCAGGTGTTGAACGTCCGAGTTCCACGCCTCAGTGAATCTTTCACCCTTCCCTTCACAAATGTTATGGAGGGTACAGCACGCGGATATAACTGTGGGGATGCTGTCATCGGCCAGGTCCAGCTTCCCATACAGACAGCGCCAGCGGCCCCTTAAACAGCCAAAGGCACACTCCACAGTCATTCGGCAGCGGCTCAGCCTGTTGTTGAACTGTTCCTTGCTGCTGTCAAGGCTCCCTGTGTAGGGTTTCATGAGCCACGGCATTAACGGGTAAGCGGGATCTCCAAGGATCACAATGGGCATTTCAACTTCCCCTACCGTGATCTTCCGCTCTGGGAAAAAAGTCCCGGCCTGCATCTTCCTGAACAGCCAAGTGTTCCGAAAGATGCGTGTGTCATGCACCTTTCCAGGCCAGCCTGTGTTAATGTCAATGAAACGCCCTCGGTGATCCACAAGCGCCTGGAGAACCATAGAAAAAATTCCCCTTCCAATTAACGTACTCGGAGGCTAGGTGGGCTGGTGCCAGAATAGGAATATGCGTCCCATCTATCGCCCCTCCACAGTCAGGGAACCCCATTTGTGCAAAGCCATCCCTATGTCCTGCACGTTACCCAGAGTCACGGTTCTTCTGAGTAGGATGCGATTAATGGCCCTGCAAACTTGCATCAACACGATTCCAACGGTCGACTTTCCCACACCAATCTGGTTTGCGACCGACCAGTAGCTGTCTGGAGTTGCCAGCTTCCAGATTGCAATAGCCACCCGCTTCTCCACTGGCAGGGCAGCTCTCAATCTCGTGTCCTTGCGCCGCAGGGTGGGGGCGAGCTCCTCACACAGTCCCATGAAAGTGGCTTTTCTCATCCGAAAGTTCTGCAGCCACTGCTCGTCATCCCAGACTTCCATGGCGATGTGATCCCACCACTTGGTGCTTGTTTCCCGAGCCCAAAAGCGGCGTTCCTCGGTGCTGAGCATGTCCGTGAATGCCACAAGCCATCTCGTGTCGTATGCGTAATGCAAGTCAACATTATCATCAGACTCCTCACTGTCAGTTTGGATCTTAAGCAGTAACTCGACTGCCAAATGTGCCGTGCTGGCGAGACTCGTCAGCGTACTCCGCAGCGTGGGCTCCATTCCCGCAGACCGAAAGGGAAGACAGAGCGTGCAGTACAAAAAACATTGAAAGATGGCGCCAAATGTGGACGGAAGCAGAGGGATTGCTGGGATGCGAACCGATGCATCATGGAGCGTTGGGACAGGACCCAGAATGCCCCCCCCCCACCCTTCCCATAAGCCACAGCACCAGAATGGGAAGAGGTGCTCTGTGGGATAGCTGCCCATAATGCACCACTCCCAATGCTGCTGCAAGTGCTGCAAATGTGGCCACACCAGTGCACTTGCAGCTGTCCGTGTGGACACACTGCAGCGCTTTCCCTACTGTGCTCTCTGAAGGCTGGTTTAACCCAAAGAGCTCTACCGCTGCAAGTGTAGCCATGCCCTAACTAACCACGTCTGGTGGAAGCCAGAGCGTAGCTGGTGTTTGCTGACGGGCGGCAGGGGTCAGAGCTGCTGGCCCAGGGCTGTGGCTACACACAGACACTCAGGGTGGAAGCGACAGCAGGAAGCACTGGGAGGCACCCCAGGGTGCAGGGCAGGTGGTGACACAGCTGCTGACCGGTCTGGACTCACTGTCCCAGCAATATTAACCCACAGGTGAGCCAGGCCGATCCCAGCTCCGTATCTGTCAGTGTTCAGCTGAGACACGGGGACCCTGGCATGTGCTGGCACCTGGTCTGCCAGCGTCACAGTCACACTTCAGGGGGGAGAGCGGCTGTGTCTGAAACCCATCACTGCCTCGCTCTGCCCGGGCCAGTGTTCGCATCCTCGCCTGCCTCGTCTACACACCCTGTCACTGGTTTAACTTTCACTGTTTCACTTTCACTTAAACCCAACACTTATCAGCTCACCCTGAACGGCTGTACACCGGTCACAGCCTGCAATCAGAGCGTCCACTGGGGGGTTGTGTTGGGTTACTGAACTCGGTTTCAGTTCACACTTTTAGTTAAACCGGCGCAACCCTGTGTAGACAAATCCTCACCCCACCCCCTCCTCCCACCTGCTGGATTGTGGGACCAACGCAGGAACAGCCAGTCCCCAGTTCCCAGCCAGGGAACGTCCAAGCTCTTCTCCTGTCCTTACCGAGCACACGGAGGGTCGTCTCTTCCTGCAGCTGCTCCGTACCGTAACCAACGACACATTTATACAGCCCCTCATCCGACACCGACACACTGGAGAGCGACAGGGATGCGTTCCCGTTCTCCAACTCCTGCTGCGACACGCTCGCTCCGGGCTGGGATTCTCCCCTGCCCTGGTCGTACTGCGCGATCCTCTCCTCCCACAGATACCACTGAACCCGCAGGGAGCTCAGATCGACCGGCCCCCCGACGTCGAACCGACATTTCAGCAGCGCCCCAGAGCCCAGCAGGGCCCGGGAGGAGGGATCTGTGA